GTGTGTGTGTGTGTGTGTGTGTGTGTGTGTGTTATCTTCTGAATAATACTATAAATAAATATATAAATTTATATAAATTTACTGGTCGATATAAATTTACTAAGAGCTAAGTAGAGTCACAGTGTAATATGGTGTTGCTATTTAGTTAAGTGAGTGTTACACCCTTCCTGTCGTTGTCTTTCAACGTGCAGGAGTCCGAAGATAAGGTGCGCCGGAAGGCTTTCATTGGGATGTCCGGGACCATTCCAGACTGCTGGTCTGGGCGACAGGCAATCGCCAGAGGAAAGTTCGCTGCCATCTGTGACGAGACCTCCATGAAGAAGGCCATATCGTGGGATTTCAGGTAAACCAAGAATATATTCTTTGTTATAACTGTAATGAACGCTTGATTGATTATCAGCAAAGCATTATAAATAGTTAATAAACATTATAAAGTCGTGACCAGCATGTAACAAACTCTGGTACATTTTGGACACGTATTATATTATGATGCTGCAAAGATAGCCTCAAAAAAGCTTAAAAGTACACATTATTGGTGAAATATAAACAAAAGCTTTTAATATATAATCAAAAGACACTATTAAAGCTTATGTTTTAATACATCATAATTGATGAACTGTAGCTGTCCCTTATGTGTTGATCACTTTACCTGCTGAGCAGAGATGAATAACTAACATGATGATCACTTGACCTGTTGACAGCACGAGCGGCCAGTGTCACCTTTACATTGCCCGAGAGAGAGTTTACTCCAACTTGATGATGTGTTTAGCCTTCAAGGTCAACTCTTCTTACCTCGTGAGGGCAAACAAAATGTGAGGAGAATATCCGCGTCTAGTATCGTTCTTTATCTCTCGTTCACGTTCAAGTGCGTTATGAACTCTGAGGTTTCCTTTTCTTTCATAATATTCCTTCAGTTATATGTATTTGCATTCATATTTTTGCAACTTCTTCTTTTATAGTTTCCTACTACGGACACTTTTTCTACTGTGAATACAACTGTTATTACTTGTTTCTCCATTTTAACTGCAACAAATAATGATGTTTTTACCCCAAAAATTACAGATACTGCATTGTTTCTATTTTTTTATAGAATGCAACTACTGCAATATCAATTAAGATTGCACTATTTACGTTATTTATAGCATTATAACTCTTACTGTAAAGTTTACTACAAGTGGTACTTAAACTCACAATAAAATAAGATATATCAAGCTTTCTTCTGAATTTTAAGATATTCTTGAAATTTTTTGTTACTGTTCTCTGAGTTTACAAGTTTACGTAGTCCACACTACATAGTGGTTTTAATAAGCTGCAATAAACATGTTTGTAAATATTTTTACATTTATAATATTTTTTTAGTATTGAGATGCTGCGAGACACAGGAGTGCTGGCCAAGTGGCTGGGGAATGAGATCACTAACACCTGCCAGTGTCTCCGGCCCCCGACCTCTGACCGCAGAATTAGCATGCAGCCGCTCAGCATCGACTCCTTCCTCGGGCCCCTGATCCTCCTGTTTGGTGGTAAGCGTTACTGGTGAGGCTGTAGGTGCTTCTGATGGGAGTGCTACATTGGGTGCTCTGTCTGGGGTGTTCTGTGGGCTTTTGAAGTGATTAGAGGTGGCTACGAAGGATCTGAAGGAAGGTATACTGCCAGGATCTCGCCACGTGCTACCGAAGTGTCGGAAGCACAGGTGAGATACTGGACTGATAGTGGGAGAAGTTATCCCTTTAGTGAAGTGTTTAAGAAATGTGATGAAGTGTTGTGGCTTGTAAGGGAGAGTTGAGTTAATTTGGTTCTGCTACTGGGTTACGGTGATGTGATTTAAGCCCTTAATAATAAAAACAACAGTTAATATATTTAATCATTATAATGGTAAAAATTAAGGTTCTACAAGATAATAATACTTATAACTAATATAATCAGTAAATAAAATGCATATACTAATAATCAAACGGTTGAAAAACCATTGAAAAACTCTACTCGACACAGATGCTAACAAAGTCCAAAGTATTAATGAGAAAGTTCTGAATCATTAAAACTGAGTTATGCCCACTTATTGCCCTGTTCTATGGAACATGGTCACACATACGAGACGCTAGGCTCCACAAACAGAGAAGTAAAGCGTTAATAGAACTATTGATCTTACTTACAGTTGGTGTCAGTATGTTTATATTACTCCTTATTAAAAAGCAACATCGTAAAACTGCTTACAAAATTATTATTTACCCAATTATCTAATCAATGAATAGCTAATAACACAACATAAGTTGCTAAATAATTTCATGTATGCCAAGACAGCTATAGTTAGCTGTTCACACAAAGTGCAGTTCAACCATGCAACCACTAAAATAATTAACACAAGTTATATGTATAAAAAAAACTTTTCATCAGCAACAATAATAAAGACAACAATAGTTATATCATTAACGTTAATATCAATAATGATAATACCATTAATGATAATATTGGGATTGCTAATTAATAATTATTAATTAATCATAATAATCATCAATTAATATATATATATTACTAATTAATCATAATAATCATCAATGTCTTATAAAAATTAATAATTAATCATAATTATCCTCAATAAGGATTAATAATAAATAGTAATAATTCATCATTATTATTGATTAAGAAAAAATAATAAGAATAATAAGAATAATAGCCAAATAAGTGTTTTTCTTCATATCAGGTTTGTCAGTGGCTCTTCATATCTTTGTTGGTGAGCACCTCATTCACCTCTGCTGGTCCAGGACCCCGCCACTCCTCTCGTGAAGCGTCTCTTCTGCTCTACCTCATTCTTGAAGAAGTTACATAAATGGAACAATCAATCGTTGCCTGAAACGCTGTCCGTATTAGTGGCTTTAGGCATTGTATGTACTGGCCTTTTCAAGAACTCCAACATTATGTTTATAACTCATCCTGCATGTATGTACTTTTACCTGAATAAACATTTTATTTGATTTGATTGTATTGTTGCCTGAAAATTTTACAAAATGTTGCTTACCTAGTAAACTGGGGAGGTAAACATAGTTATTTTCATAACTTCTTTAGCGTTCCTGGAGTGTGGTGGCCCTAGCGTGTGTGAGAAGCTCCTCATATTTACAAGCAAAAAATATGTAATTGTCAGAAGTGTTCTGATTATAGTGTGTTCATGTGTGTTTTGTGTGTGTGTTTTGTGTGTGTGTGTGTTTGTGTGTGTGAGGTGGAGTTGGCGGGAGGTAGTTGAAGGAGAGAGTTAATGAGAAAGTGGGTTAGCAAAATGAAATTGACAGTCACGCAATGCAAGCAATAGGCAATAGCATGGTCAGGGACAGCAGGTGGGTCCAGTCAATGTGTGTCGTCTGCACGGGTCGGCCTCGTCTACAGTAGCTGCCACTGTGACATCAGGACCTGTCCTAGCTTAGGTAACTACCTAATATTTCACCTTAAATTAACAATTTATAATACCAATAATAATGTAGATCATTCTGTATTTCGTTATGGCTGTGACATTTTATTTTATTTTCCTGGTTTTAATCTGTTGTACATTCGCTTAAATATTTTCCATAATTGTCAAAAGGCACGTCATGAAAATTCCTTGTGCAGCGCCATTCATGACAACCCCGGTCACTAATACCACAATGGGTCCAACATTCATGACAACCCTGGTCACTAATACCACAATGGGTCCAACATTCATGACAACCCTGGTCACTAATACCACAATGGGTCCAACATTCATGACAACTCTGGTCACTAATACCACAATGGGTCCAACATTCATGACAACCCTGGTCACTAATACCACAATGGGTCCAACATTCATGACAACCCTGGTCACTAATACCACAATGGGTCCAACATTCATGACAACTCTGGTCACTAATACCACAATGGGTCCAACATTCATGACAACCCTGGTCACTAATACCACAATGGGTCCAACATTCATGACAACCCTGGTCACTAATACCACAATGGGTCCAACATTCATGACAACCCTGGTCACTAATACCACAATGGGTCCAACATTCATGACAACCCTGGTCACTTATGCCACAATGGGTCCAACATTCATGACAACCCTGGTCACTAATACCACAATGGGTCCAACATTCATGACAACCCCGGTCACTAATACCACAATGGGTCCAACATTCATGACAACCCCGGTCACTAATACCACAATGGGTCCAACATTCATGACAACCCCGGTCACTAATACCACAATGGGTCCAACATTCATGACAACCCCGGTCACTAATACCACAATGGGTCCAACATTCATGACAACCCCGGTCACTAATACCACAATGGGTCCAACATTCATGACAACCCCGGTCACTAATACCACAATGGGTCCAACATTCATGACAACCCCGGTCACTAATACCACAATGGGTCCAACATTCATGACAACCCCGGTCACTAATACCACAATGGGTCCAACATTCATGACAACCCCGGTCACTAATACCACAATGGGTCCAACATTCATCCTTTCTCAATGAGGTCTAATGAATCACTGTCATTTTTGTTTACTTTATGCTTTCCTTTTGTTGTGAAACAACAGCATAAACACAAAAGGAGCAGAAACAAAAGAAATACATTCGACTCTCTGAGGCCTTTTGTTGATTACAAGTCAAACGTTCATTAAGTTTATTGAACAAAAGTATTTCTTGCTATTTTTCACATCATTTGTATTTTGTATTTATTCATTCACAAAATTAGAGTTGATTAAAAAAAATTCTTACTAAAACAATGCTCTAATAATTACCTGTTAATAAAAGTAGTGCCTTATTGATTAGTGCTTTAAAAATTGTATTCCACATAATTATTGATTAACGGATTTCTGCTCACATACTGATGGCTGTTCGATTTCTCATTGTTGTTCCAATGAAATGATCTATACGGATTGTACAACACATATGTAGAGTTATACAGATTATTATTACTCTTTAAGTACGTTAAGCATCATAAATGAATAATTTACTGGTTTACTGATTATTTTCTGCATAATTAGTCCTTTACAGATTTGTTCATAATTGTTTATGGACTGTCCTTCATATAATATGTTCTTTACGGAGAAGTTCTTGACGAAGTTTTATCTCTCCCTCTAACAGATATATTTGTGCTCGAACCAGGTGGTTTTGGTTCCTGTTGTTATCTCGACTTCTGAACATCACCACCGCATCGCGAGAGATACTTAATTATAGTCAAGAACTGAGGCATAAACAAGACTGATGAACAACCCAGAAACAAGACTGATAAATATAGTACAAAGAAAGGCAAAGAGCATAGAACCAGCAAGTAAATGAACTAACAATTAAAGGTGACATCAAACAAAGCGCTTGGACACGTAAAGAAGACTTTATGCAAAAAAGTTCATAGGCAAGGGAAACTAAACATTAAACAAACAAAAGCACCCTGATAGGTAAACTCTAGTAATCAAGACTGATAATCGTAAAACAGCAAGATAAATATACTCAGGCAATCAAGAGGATAAACAAAAGTAATCAAGTTATAAAGAAAAGTAATCAAGAGAGATAGACATAAGTGCTAAATTTGTATGTAATGTAAAGCAACACAATTTGCTACATACTAAAATAAGTAACGAATAGACTAAATATCATTTCCAGTTATCAGGTCAGATTAAACAACGAAAATGCAATGTAAATAGCACAGAATGAGTTAGGGTGAAGTTAAAGCAATCAATATAGATAAGCATCTACAAGCATGAAAGCGCCTCGCCCATTTCTCCGGATTGCTGCCGAGACTGTAAGTAATAGCCTGGTAACGTCCGTTAATATATTGGAGAACTTTTTAACTCTTTCTTTTTTTTAGGAAGCACGTTGACGTTGTTTAAAAATTAATTACGTTGGTTTAAAAGTAAAAAGTAATGGCAAACACTCTTAAAAGTATGTTAAGAAGTAAGTTTCTTACTTTAAGTCACGTAAGCAGGGATGAAGAAAAGCGAAAGGTAATTAGCGGTTCTGAAAATCTTAAATATAATTTTCTTACGAAATGTTTTAGTCAGGTTTTCTAATGCATTCTCTCAGTGATGAACTGTTGAGTTCCTTTGTTATTTGCAACGTGGCTATTGCTATCTTTTTTTGTCATACGATTTTTCCAGGTATGAATATTATTAAGACATTTATAGTATGTGTCCATGTTTATGAATTGTGCTTCCATGATTAGTGGAGTAGAAGACGCATTTTTTTCGAATTTGCATTATGAATTTCATACACACATAATGAATTTTCTAAGTGGGCCGGTATCTTGAAACTCCAGTCAGCTAGGCCAATATTTTTCTTGTCATACATATACTTTGAATTATATATTTATATGTTTTTTGCATTTGTGTCCTTTTTCTCCCTCATATTCACTTAATATCTTTATAACTATCTCTACACCTCAAAAAACCACTAACTTTAAGTAGATATTTCAACTCTTGCTTCAAGTATGTCCATATTTTAAAAGACCCAATATAGCTCACTAGAATTATTTTGTGATAACACTACTGAAATGTCTTCTGAAAAAACGGGAGTTTAGCAGCACTGCTGATTGCGAAGATTGACAATATATATAGAAATATTTAATGTGATATTCCAAATTTAAACTTAAAATATCTAATTCTCTGTATCTCTAAATTTTGCTGCTAATTTTCTCTCCTCCACAGTGGGTGCCATACACTAGGGTCTTCACCAGTCCTGACGGTCGCCTTGGAGTCGACGGTCCAATAGGCAACCTGGTTCACCTCATTTCTAAAATTATTGGTTTTGAGTATGAATTTCTTTTACTGTCAATGAGACTTTATGAACAATTATTGTCATGTATGTAATAATCATAATGCTGATTATAGCAACACTTAAATAATTATAACAGAAGATAAGATGATAATAATAATAATAATCTTATTGAAATATTAGTAATAATAATAATATAATAATAATAATAATAATAATAATAATAATAATAATAATAATAATAATAATAATAATAATAATAGGGACATTAATTAAGAGCTTTATCTAATCTTCCAGAGATACATATGGTTATTCTATTTATTATTTACAGTTTCGAAGTGGTCCGACCTAATGATGGCCTGTGGGGAAACCAGCTGCCTAACGGATCTTGGTCAGGGATGATGGGTATGATAGACAGGAGGGTGAGTCCCGGAAAAATGGTTTTATGATGATAAAAGGTTTGATTGTGTTTATATACCTATCTCTTCTTTTACTTAATGTGCTAATGAGCGGTGCATGCTCATGGGTTTTCATGGCTGGTGTTGCCTCTGACTATCATGACTAAGTAGGTCTTCTTATTCAAGTTTTTTTTCAATCCATGTCCTGCTTCAATGATTTTCTGGTAAGCAGGTCTAATTCTGTGCACCAGTAGGAGGTGGAGCTGGCCGTGGGTCCGTTCACCATCACGCCAGAGAGGGAGACTGTGTGTGACTTCTCGGCGGTGGTTCACACTGACGACTTTGCCATCATGGTGATCAGACCGGGACTCACCAATGACATGAGCAGCTTCCTCCGAACCTTCACTCCCTTGGTCAGGCCAGAGACAAATCTTTATAACATAACATGCTTTATTAATAATTTAGTGGTTATTTGATATGATTTGCAAATACGATTTTATGGATAAAAATACCTAAACTACATTAATTCATCACGTGGTAATTTCACAAATAATTTAACACGTGATGAATATTTTGAAAGCGTATGACCAAGAATTAAAATTAATCATGAAATACTTGAGTGATTCCGTATCTGCTTCATTTAATATTGAGAAGTACTAACAAAGTGATTACATACTCAGGAGAGGTGCCAACGAAAGTCTTGGAGATTATCTAGCATCACATTCATGCCTTTATACATGAAATTAGCGCTTTCGTGACTGTTTCAATACATTTTTTTAGAAGCTTACGAGATCGGGCTATTTAGTTGGGAATAGTAGTTTTGTTTTGGAGATATGTCAACTGGAATACATTTGAAGCTATGACTCGAAATGCCATATAACTTTGTGATTGCCTGCAGGTATGGCTGCTGATTCTGTGTAGTTTCGTAGGCGTGATAGTGGCCTTGGCTGGTGTGGTGTGGGCTGAGGACAAGGTGTTTGCCTTATGCATCAACAAACTCCTGGACAAAGTGGCTCTCAGCGTCATCCAAATTATCACACAACAGGGTAAATATCACGGAACATCATACTAGAGTGCAATTGTGTGAAGATTGTGTTAACAATATTGCTAACGTGTTCAAATATTTTTGTTAAATATATTGGTGTAAGTTTAGCTAATGCTATATATATACGAAAGACGACCCATACTCAGCCTGTGCTCGTTTAAACTGCGGACGGCTTCAAAGACCAAATTTAAAAAATAAGTAATATACAGTGCAAATAAAATTATGTTTGCTCCATTATAAATTAATATAAAAAAAATGTAATTTTGTGTATAATTTGGCGTAAGATAGGTAAAGTTTAAGAGTTTTTGGTCCGTTCGTAATTGTATTCGTGGTACGTGAATGAAGCCTTTAGAAAGGTGTGATGAGATCCTTATTTATTTGTAAATCTTCAATATTTTCATTTTCATCTACATATTTAAATGTCTATAGCTTGAAACAGCATCCAAACATATGCTAACCTACAACCGTGGCCCACAGATTTTAGAGTCTGTATGCCTCGTGTGATTAACATCTCGCATTGTTGATTTAATTTTCTTTGTCGCAGTACTTTCTGTAATAAATTGTACTCCGCAATAAATGCAATATATGTACTCCGATTCTCACAGCGTTATATCTTGCCATTTAAAAATATTGCCATTAAAAACCATGGTGGATATTGTCTTGGGATCTGAAGGTGCTAGTGAAGTATATCAGTGTGACTGGTAATATTTTTACTCAGGTGGATGAAGTTTAGCGTATTTCCATCGTATTTGGATCGATTTTGAAAAGGGAAATAAATACGCAAATATAACAATCTTTGGCAAGATTGTTATATTTTAGCAAATAAGCAAATAAGCAAATTTTAAAATCGAAGGAAATAGTTGGATTTTTAAACCATTTCTTCCGCAGGGACTAATTGGGTGCCGACAGCGGACGGAGGCCGCTTTGTAGTGATAACGTGGATACTATCATCCTTTGTGTTCATGTCCTCCTTCAGTGGCATCCTCACGGCCATGCTGACGGTGCCTCGGGTCACCATCCCCATAGACTCCCTGGCGGACCTGGTGGCTCAGACTCACCTGCCCTGGCGAGTGGAGGCCGGCTCCTTCATCAACAAATTTTTAATGGTAAACATAATGTTTAAAGGTACCAGTGGAACATCATTAAGACAGTTTTTAGCTTTTCATTTTTTTCTTAGGTGAAAATGTGTTTTTGTGCAGAGTTTCGTGATAATACCAACTATGGTGATTAGTCCTGCATGTTTGCCGACCATTATAACAACTATGCTTTCTTTGAGAGTCCAAATCATCCTCAAACAGCATGCAGGACTGTCAAAGAATTTTTAAATAAAATATTCATGTGTGTGTGGGCAATTACGAGTGATTAGTTCTGCAGTGTTAGATGCAACACCCTGGTGAGTGTGCTCACATTACCTGGCCTGAGAGCGTGCATGTTCTCACCACTTCATATTAAATGCAGCTCACCCACGACACCAGCAACTAACACGTCTGATTGAACTATTTAGATGTTATTAGAATAAAGTTGGCGGGTTCTAAGAACTACCTCTCTATTATATGTTACAAAAGGATAAGCATTGTCCACAGAAAGCTGGACTTTAAGTATTTACTATTTTTTCTCAGTGTCGGATATAAAATACACCAAAGTATATTCATCACGATTACCAGTTTCTCATGCGGAGGGCCAACTGAAGCAAGCTAAAAGTATAGCATCAGGGTAAATTCTGGAATAACTGGTTAGTAATCTACAGGTTTTGGAGCATTTTGGGATAAGTGCGTCCCAGTGCCTACAACTTAAAGCCATACACATTCAGAAACATCATGAGACTCACTAATTAATTTTCTTTAACTTTAATATATCTCAAAGAACACAAATATATTTTCGCCCATTTATTAATATATTTACTAACAACATGCTCTATTCTTTTACTTCTAATGGGGCATAAGATCTAGATACCAGGCCCTAAATAATTGTACTCTTAAGCACTGATGATGTGATCTGCAGGAGTCTGGAGATCCTGTACGACAGAAAGTTGTAAGCAGGATGGCCGGCTTTATTCCGGACTGCTGGACAGCTCGTCAGGCCGTCGCTAACGGGGAATATGCTGCTGTCTGTGACGAAACCTCCATGAAGAAATCTATGTCCTGGGACTATAGGTAAGGTACTCAGGAATATTTATGAAAGGCCCTGTATTTTGCTCGAAGTTTTATTCAAGATCAATGTATTTCACACATTCAGATGTGCTATCGAGATATTCAGTTGTACTATCGAGACATTCATATAAAAGTTGATACAGCTTTACATATATCACCAATATCAACACTCAACTTTTTTTTTTACTTCTGCAGCACAACTGGGAAGTGTCACTTGTACATCGCGCGTCAGAAGGTGTATTCAAACGCCATGATGGCAGTGGCTTTCAAGGTCAATTCCACCTTCCGCTCCAAAGCCGACGAAATGTAATTAGTATTTTCATGATTTCTTTCATGTCTAGGATTAACAAACATACATATACTATCATTGTATGTAACAAACATACATATACTATCATTGTATGTAACAAACATACATATACTATCATTGTATGTAACAAACATACATATACTATCATTGTATGTAACAAACATACATGTACTATCATTGTATGTAACAAACATACATATACTATCATTGTATGTAACAAACATACATATACTATCATTGTATGTAACAAACATACATATACTATCACTGCTGCAGAACGGGGAGGCATCAGTCTGGAGATATATGCTGGGTAATAGTAAATAGAAGGTTATCTTGTTGGGTCTAGTCTGGAACTTCTCTTAGCGAAACATACTGCAGCTTCCACATTGTATGCCATTATGGGTAGAGAAGCATAACCATAACACCAGATGTCCTCCAAAACAACATCCCAACTGTTCATACAAACTTTTGGATTAATCTTTAATTAGATATTTAGCAAATTGTTGTTACACCATAATTAGTTTAGTCATGCAAAAGACATATCGATGTTTGTATATTAGAATTATAAAGATATCAAATTAGAATTTGTATTCCACTTATTGTTAATGGCGACATTGCAGATGACAGAATATTTACGACTTACGAGACAAAAGGTTCAAGGCAAAAAGCTCCCTGCCGGGTCCTATTTAGTATCAGCTGTTCCGTAGTAAATATGAATGAGGAGAATCAATAGTAATAAATGAAGTTAAAAACTTCATAATACTGAAAACATGTACGAGTTAAAAAAGCACTTGTCATGAAGTCTCAGAATGCAAGGTAGACCTGAACTGATCACTGAATAACAGTTGCCAAGTTTTGGGTTGCGGGAAGAACGTGTAAACCTATTGACGAGTCTATATAATACTGATCCAACATGATCTCTTTATCCAACACCATATGTAATTTTTAACCTATATTCGTTCTCAACCCTCGCCTCCAGTATCATGATGGTGAAGGAGGCTGGGCTGCTGGAGCGGTGGATGGGTACAGAGATCACCAACACCAGCCAGTGCCTGCGGCCGCCCACCTCAGACAAGAGGGATACCTTTTCAGCACTCAGTGTGCAAGCTTTTTCAGGCCCTTTCCTCGTCCTGGCTTTCGGTAAGCTGTTCCCTACTAGTATATCATTATTATTATTATTATTATTATTATTATTATTATTATTATTATTATTATTATTATTATTATTATTATTATTATTATTATTATTATTATTATTATTATTATGAGTAGTAGTAACATCGTGAATTAATTTGAATCTTAATTAAATTATTAAATGTTTTAAACAAGTTAATAGTGGTCATCAAAATTAATACTACCTATGAGAAAACTAATTTTCATAGATTATTGGAAATATATTTATGGAGTATTTCTAAACACGACTTTTATTTTCGTAATTCTGTTTGAATCTGACTTTGTGTGGAAGTTTTTTTTTTTTGGGTGGAGCTGAATAAATGAAGTCGGATATAGGTATATTGTAAATGCTGTAAAATGCATTAAAATCAGCCACATATCATATCTGTTGAAGAATCTAGTTGCAGAGAAGTGAGTTGGATGCAAGCTTAGTAACTGATTAGCTTTCCTCTAATCAGTTACTAGCAAAGACAGTTGATATGAATCAAATTAGTCATTATTCTATAACAGATTTAAATTGTAAGTTGTAAAATTTTGTGTACACTTTCATTTAGAAAATGAGAAACATCTGCAGACTTGTAACTCTTTTTCAAGAGTATTTTCGTTCAACATCTTTCACGTGTTAACTAAAGGACCGATTTTCATCAATCTCTGCACTTAATATATTAGTAAAAGAATTATTTATATATTTCTCAATATTGTGGTGTATACAACGTTGATATTTTTGGTGTAACAATGATATAAAAATCTGAATTTTCTTCAGTGGCAATAGTAACTTCGTAACGTGATAAAAAAAATAAAGTTTTATTAATACTATTTGATTTCACTCAATTATCCAGTAAAATTTAGTATATGGGTCTGTACATTAAAATTTCACTCATATTGTTTATGTTTATATATATATATATATATATATATATATATATATATATATATATATATATATATATATATATATATATATATATATGTCGTACCTAGTAGCCAGAACGCACTTCTCAGCCTACTATGCAAGGCCCAATTTGCCTAATAAGCCAAGTTTTCCGGAATTAATATATTTTCTCTATTTTTTTTCTTATGAAATGATAGAGCTACCCATTTCATTATGTATGAGGTCAATTTTTTTTTATTGGAGTTAAAATTAACGTAGATATATGACCGAACCTAACCAACCCTACCTAACCTAACCTAACCAATCTTTATAGGTTAGGTTAGGTTAGGTAGCCGAAAAAGTTAGGTTAGGTTAGGTTAGATAGGTTAGGTAGTCGAAAAACAATTAATTCATGAAAACTTGGCTTATTAGGCAAATTGGGCCTTGCATAGTAGGCTGAGAAGTGCGTTCTGGCTACTAGGTACGACATATATATATATATATATATATATATATATATATATATATATATATATATATATATATATATATATATATATATATATATATATATATATATATATATATATATATATATATATTCGAAGTCGCTGAATATGCCCTAAATTATATAATATATGAAATGTCTTTATATTAAGGGGTTCAAAAAAAATGTTTTACACCTGAAATTTATGAGAGAAGCATTATGCCTCCTAGCTGCTAACTAGCTTGATAAAGTTTGGTTACTGTGCAGGTGTGAGTGTGTCGCTGGCGTCGTTTGTGAGTGAGTTGGTGTATGAGAGACTGTGTGGGTCTGGTGCTCCGGGCTCTACACACTTCTAGTTGAGGAATCGAGGCGCACCCGTTACCGGTAAATACTTTATGTATGAACTAAATATACATACATTCATACATATATACGTGCAAACATGCATATATATACTTACACAGAATGTATTTGCATACAAGCATACCTAAATCGCTGCGCTTGAGATGTTCCGGTATTCAAGTTGAGTTCTATCATACAAACACCATACTCTCTCATCTACATATATGTGCCTCCATATGTGCTTATATACACATGTTGCTTCATTAAAAAAATCTATGTTTTTACTCAAATGCATTCTGTATATTCTGAATAATTTATTCGATATGTATTTTGCTATGGAATATATCTAAAACCTAATTCTTTCATAGTACACAATTTTGACATTACAGATTACCCTTCCCATGATGAACAAGACTCCGCCCCTCATGCTGGCTCAGCTGTGTCTGTAGGAACAACACCATATAGAAGTAAACAGCAAAGAATGACTATTTATTGATTATTATAGACATTAGTACCATATTTATTCTTCTTATTATTTTTACTATTGTATATGTAAAATTATTATCGTTATTGTAAACAAATATTTTTTTTTCATCTAAAATTGTAATTGTTGAGAATTATTACTGTGTTTGCTTTATGTGTATTTAGCATGTTAACAACTGCTATTTTTCAGTAGAAATCTATAACAGTGTTAATCTACTTGAATTTTGTTCATGATCATTTTGTGTATTATGGGTGATAGGAGGTTCCATGTTGCTCTTTAGCAAAAAGAACGTTTTTGTGTTAGGCTCATGTGACACCGCATGTTCGCTAGATTACCCTTGAGGAAGTTGTAGTGAAACTAAACGAATGAAGTGGAAGATATGCCGTTTTGCGACCTATACAATGCACATAATCCAGCATCTCACCTGAGTTAGAGACTTTGGATATCTGGCATTGATGTCTATGTATTAAATTTGTTCATCATAAGATGTATGACTGGGTAGCTTTCTCTAACCACTTTAGATATGACTGTGTGCAATATATACACAAAATGTATATTATTACAAAAATACACAAGATGTATATTACATATGACGCTTGCTTCTTTAGCGTTTCTCAGAGGTGATGACAGAAATTCGTCACTCAAAACTCAAAAAAAAACTCAAAATAATGAATGGTGTGAGTATTGAACTTATCATCAGTATTTCTTCTCTCAGTGACTGCTGTTCATCAACAAAGAATGATGAATTATTAAATGTAGGAACATTCCTTCACGTACTAAGAGAATATTTAAGTGTATACTCACCTAGTTGTACTCATCTAGTTGTGCTTCCGGGTGTTGAGCTTCGGCTCTTTGGTCCAAACACTCAACTTTCAATCTATAGGTGTACAGATTCCTGAACCTATTGGGATTTCATATCTACACTTGAAACTGTGTATGGAGTCAGCCTTCATCATATCACTGCCTAATGCATTCCACTTATTAACAACTGACACTGAAAAAGTTTTTTTATAATGTCTCTGCGGCTCATTTGGGTACTCAGTTTCCACCTGTGTCCCCTTGTGTGTGGTACGTGTTAAATAATCCGTCATTATCTACCCTGTCATTGTGTGCCTGTGCGTGCGTGTGTGTGTGTGTGTGTGTGTGTGTGTGTGTGTGTGTGTGTGTGTATGTGTGTGTGTGTGTGTGTGATATGTAGGGAGAGAAGGAGAAGTGTAGAGAAGACTGGGAAGACACAGGGTTACACAGCCACACCAGAGCCCAGGATGCCAGTAGGGTCCAGTCAGGCTGAGGCGTCGGTACGGAGCGGCATCACCCATACAGTGGCTCTCAACCTCACTTCACACATGCTCTCCTTCCTCAGGTAATCATATTTCAATGCATTTATTAAAAACAACGTATGTTACCAAATGTTTCTTATACTTTACCATTTAATCATTCAGCGTTCATAATATAATCTCGTTTTAATTTGATATTTTTTATTTTCCATTCTTTCGAAATATTTTTTTAGCGTATTTAAATTTCTCGAAAGAGTTTTTCATATGAATTTGCAAAACAATCTTGGTAGAACACTTTCTCACAGAGCCCGTTGTCACTTCTTGATATTATGGTACTTCCAAACATCCTAAGTTTCTTTTCTCAATTAAAAAAGAATGAATTTACTTAGACTGAGATATCTACATTGTTCTTTTCTCATATCGAGAGCCAGTTTTGCAAATACAACAGCGGGAGTATTAAAGATGGTGGATGCTGAGACAAAGACCAAACAAAGAAACAAGCATGCTGGATGCTGGGACAAAGACACGATAAACGCTGAAGTATTCATTATGCTGAGACAATGACACAGAATTATATACTTTTTTTGTCATTTTACATAAACGAAGGTTTTTCAGAGTATTCTTCCACTTAGTGAGCTGCAGATTATCTTCTAAATAATTAGTGCTAAGTGCATTATCGTTTACAAAGAGTTCTATCAATTACCTTTCCTGTAATTTGTGCTTTGTTAATTATTATACAAAAAATTTTGCACTTGGCAAATTATCCTTTTCATAACTAATGTTTTACAGATTATCGTTCAACAGAATTTAAGTGTTTGTTTTTATAAATAATATACAACGCACAAATTCTTTTTGGTCCATATATTAACCATTTAACCATTATTTAACTTGTATACCGACGAATGACTTTCGAACATTGTATTGATACTTCTTATAACTTTATATCTTTTATTTCTTCAACAGGATCATTGGTGGTTAAGCCACGTGCTTCTTGTTTCTGTCGTTATCTCGACCTCTCCACTCGCCAATTGCAGCGAAGATATAGTGAATACAATATATAAGAATTTTTATATTCATGTCTGAAAAAACACAACAGCATTAAGTAAAATGTCTCCCAATTAAACAGAAATGTCAAGAAAAGTAATCAAAGTACACGCGGAACTAATATATAAATTGTAAAGTGATCAAGACAAATGAAGACAAGAAATGAAGACAGATGAGGACTACAAATAAAAACCCGAAAACAAGAGAGATAAACATGACCTTATATCGCCCGTTCTTGAGAATCGCTGCTGAAACCGTGAGTATGTATGAATATATATATATATATATATATATATATATATATATATATATATATATATATATATATATATATATATATATATATATATATATATATATTCATCTATATATAATTATCTTTCTATCTATTGCCTTTTTTCGTTTTTCCTTCTCCTTGTCTTTTCACTTTACCCTGGTATAACTGTCTCTCTCTCTCTCGACGTTGCCTGCTCTGCCTCATCAGTGGGTGCCATACATTCGAGTCTACACCATGTCAGACGGCCGCCTTGGGGTGGAGGGTCCTATAGGCAACCTGGTTCAAGTCTTATCCGACACTATTGGCTTCGAGTAAGTCTGATCTCGGTTGTTTGTCCGTCTAAGACAACTCTGATATTTACGAGCATAATAGCATCATTATAGATAATAACAATACTGAGCATTATAATCATAATAATAATATTGATCATTGTGATAAAAAAAGTTGTTCAACAATTCTGTTTATTCTTTTATTTATTTTTTTGTTTTTACAGTTTCGAATTAGTTCGGCCTCCAGATGGACTCTGGGGAAACAAGCTACCGAATGGATCTTGGTCAGGGATGATGGGAATGGTTGACAGGAAGGTGGGTCCTGGAGAGGTTACTTTGTAAACTAATATTTCCCTGTTCTTGTATATCTGTTTCTTGCTTGTGCAGGCCAGGAGTCACAATAACGTGGCTGAAATATGTTGACCAAACCACACACTAGAATGTGAAGGGACGACGACGTTTCGGTCCGTCCTGGACAATTCTCAAGTCGATTGTTTCTTGCTTAATGTAAATGCACATTTGTACGTGTTTTACGTGCATGCTCTACATTACAACACCAAAGATACAGTGACTTCCTGTATGCACCAGCAGGAGGTGGAGTTCGCCGTGGGTCCGTTCACCATCACGCCTGAGAGGGAGACTGTGTGTGACTTCTCAGCGGCCGTTCACACCGACGACCTGGCCCTCCTGGTGATCAGACCGGGACTCACCAACGACATCAGCGGCTTCCTCAAGCCCTTCAACCCTCTGGTCAGGCCACACACTTATTGGCTAGTGAGACACGTTACAGTGGTTACAAACACATTCTTAAATAAATGAAAATTTAAATGAAAAATAAATGAAATTTCTTTTCACTCAGAAAATGGTGACTAACATAACATCAAGTATTTGGATACTTCATTATGAAGAGCAATTTAGGGAAAATTACTTAAATTTTCTAACAAATCGTATTTTAATAGCGGATATGGTTAAGGTGAACATATCAGATAATAATGGAAAATAGATAGACGGTGCTAAAAATATAAATTCACAATAGAATTCGAATCCATATACAATATATGTATAGTGATATATAGAAACCAAATACTAATACAGAACAAGTAATGTTGAACAGCTCATCCTCTGATGTCACATGCAATATTTTATTGCAAATATCCCCAGTCATGACGAGTTTAATATTCCTTAAATTTCGTTTAATGTTGCCAACCTGACTATGGTGGAAAGTATGACACGTGACACACCTGGTAACTTTCCTGCAGGTGTGGCTGTTGGTTCTGTGCAGCATAGTAAGTGTTGCAGCAGTCTTGGCTGGGGTAGTGTGGGCGGAGGGAAATGTGTTTGGCACATCTATCAACAAACTCATTGACAAAGTGTCCATTAACATCATCCAGACGATCATGCAACAGGGTGAGTGTTGCAGAAAGTCATTTTAGAAAGCTTGAATTATTATAGTAATAGTTAAAAAGTCTTAGTATTTGGAGTTGATGTTCTTATGTCTTACTGATATATAATGGTGCTGCTACTGAAGGTAAGAATTAATGTTATATACACGAAAATAATATATTGGACATTCATCGCTATCGTCACTACACTGTTTCCCACTTTCACTAGATATGATGAGTATAAGTATAGGAGTGTAGTGGTATTGGAAAAAAATCCAGATATTAAAAATGACACATAATTATTGACAGTATTTTATATTAGTACTCGCATAAACTATCTCTTTCATATACCTAACACTCTCACTTACTCAACTCTCACATTTTATTTTTGTAATGGAACAAATATTAGTGAATCATTCTGGTTGAGTGACTGAGGAGCTGGACGGTAATCACCAGGCGGTATTGAACAGGTCTTAACGAGACATGAATGTATTCCCAAGGCAATAAATCCACTATAATGTCTGACACCAGCACAACGCAGCCCACTCAGGCAACCTGGAATGCTTTACTTTGATGATTATATCTGTAATGGGTGATTATCTCGTTATTGATGACTGTGTGATGATTGATGACTGGTTGCAATTATATTGCTATTTACTATAATTTAAAAATAAATCTTTATTTAAGCTGTTTATCGGGAATGAATACTTAAATCGATCGTAAGTAATCAAAAACACCAAAAAACTTTACAATTTTGTTTTCTACAATAGTAGTGTTGCATTTATAATTATTTTTTTAGTCAATGAGAGCAGGGGGGATATTTTACGTTTTTTATAAGGAGAGAAAATGCGCTCAATGGGCCAGCAAATAGGCAGTTATTCAAGCATTAGGGAAATTCTGATATTTATATCCATTTTCTCCACAGGCTCTAAATGGATGCCCAAGAAAGACGCCGGCCGCCTTATAGCGACCACGTGGCTTCTGGCGTCCTTTGTGTTCACGTCCTGCTACAGTGGCATCCTCACGGCCATGCTCACGGTGCCTCGGGTCACCATCCCCATAGACTCCCTGGAAGACCTGGTGGCCCAGACTCACCTGCCCTGGCGGCTGGAGGCCGGCTCCATGATGATTCCATTCCTGATGGTAAGACATTTATTCCCGTTTCATATATATTTCCTTAAAAGAGTTCCAATAGTGTTCTGAATTTTTACTAAGTAAAAAATATTTATTCCTACAGTTTTGCTCTAATACGTGGTCTGGTAGCCTCTTTCTGAATGTGTAAAAAATAAAGAGGGCATTATTTAGGAGTCTGCTTGTTTAATCTCTAAATATATAGCAGTTTCTTATATTTCCTCTTTTATACATATGTTAACTAAAAGCATTCTCCTCATATGTGTAAAGAGACACCAGACCTTGATTATCAGGAGTGCATTATAGTACACGCGAGCTGTAAAGATGAACCCGCTCTCATCAGGAGTCTGGAGATCCTGTGCGACAGAAGGTGGCTAGCAAGGTATCCGGCACGTTTCCTGACTGTTGGACGGCGCGTCAAGCGGTCGCCAATGGCGAATACGCTGCACTGTGCGACGTAACCTCTATGAAGAAATCCATGTCCTGGGACTTTAGGTTCAGTACTCAACACAGTTATGAAAAGCCACGCATCTTGGCTGGTGTTTTATTCAAAGGTTTATATCGTGTTTGAGATGTGTTACTGAGTTATTCTAATGAAAATCTTGAACTAGCATTATGTTTGCCACAAATATCAATACGGAGCTTTCTTTACTCCTGCAGCACAACTGGGAAGTGTCACTTGTACATCGCCCGTCAGAAGGTGTATTCAAACGCCATGATGGCGATGGCTTTCAAGAACAATTCCACCTTCCGCTCCAGAGCTGACGAAATGTAAATTGTATTTTCACATATTTGTTCAGTTTTATGAACTTAGGTATTTAGGTAATTTCTTATTAAGAAACCTCTCCAAGTTTTATTATATTCTGGTCTGACTATATGTAGTCAAGCATAGAAAATACATTAATTATTATTATTATAGATTTGCCATATTTTTAACGATGATATTGATGATAGTAAATATCCAACGTTCAAGATTATCCTAACATATCCTGAACTTATATATCCACGAATATGTAGAGTTAGGCCAATGTGCCGGTTGCAGATCTGTAAGAAGCGTTTAGCAATAAGTTCTAATTATGCACTATTTTTTTTAACACAAGTTTAACAGGACTTCTGACTCCTGTAGGCAGGCTCAGAGCTCAATTTTCTCCTACCTCACGGTAAACCGCACTCTACTAATTTCCCTGGGACACGACCCGGTAATCCGTTAAAAAACAAGAACTCAGCTGCTGCTGTGATGAACAGTTAAGAACTGGAATCCAGCCAATTCTTTCTAGCTTGGACTCGTAACCAGACGAAATATAGAAAAACATATGTAGAAGGACAGAGGAATAATACATTACGAGTATACATTAGAATGCAGCTACATGTCTATAAGAAAAGAGCAATCCTCAGTATCAGTAAAGAGCATGTCATGACAAACAATTGCATGTCAGGTCACTGCATCCTTCATTAACCTGACCTCCATCATCAGTACTCAATACTTACTCATCACCGCAAATAATCTTCACCATAAGGGCCCACCACTCACTCATCACCTCGACCTTCTTCACCATCAGGACCCCGGAACGAAGACTGTTACCAGAGAACTCAATTTGATTTTCTGACCCTTAACCCCATCTCTGGCCTCCAGTATCATGATGGTTAAAGAGGCTGGGCTGCTGGAGCGGTGGATGGGGACAGAGATCACCAACACCAGCCAGTGCCTGCGGCCGCCCACCTCAGACAAGAGGGACGGCTTCTCAGCCTTCAGTCTGCAGGCGCTTTCAGGTCCCTTCATCGTCCTCGGCTTTGGTTAGTCCTTTATTATTAGTATTTACCACTATCATTTTGCTGTCTATGTCTTTATTATTATTATTATTAAAATTTGTACTGTTTACATCACATTTTCAAGAAGTAGTGAAAACATTTCGGATATATGAATGATTTTAGTTTTTCCTTACTTCTCTCTTAGAAGTAAGATAGAAGTAAGGAAAGAGATATAAGTAAAGCTGTGTTTGCTAATTATTATTATGGAAACTGTTCAATATATTTATATTGAATGGCTTAAAAAAATAGTTTAATTTGAAGATTTGCAAAAGCTTAAACTCATTTCCTTATTGTTACTAGCGTGTTTGGTGAAGTTTTGGTTACGTTACAGGTGTGAGTGTGGGGCTGGTATCGCTGGTGAGCGAACTGATGTATCACAGACTGTGGCACTTTAGTACTCCGGCCTCCACACACCAGGGATGAGGCTAGGGAGGAGTCCAGGCACCAATTACTGGTGACTAGTTCGTGTATGACTCAATGTTATACTCACACACACACACACACACACACACACACACACACACACACACTCTCCCCCCCCTCTCCCCCCCTCTCTCTCTCTCTCTCTCTCTCTCTCTCTCTCTCTCTCTCTCTCTCTCTCTCTCTCTCTCTCTCTCTCTCTCTCTCTCTCTCTCTCTCTCTCCTCTCTCTCTCTCTCTCCTCTCTCTCTCTCTCTCTCTCTCTCTCTCTCTCTCTCTCTCTCTCTCTCTCTCTCTCTCTCTCTCTCTCCTCTCCTATCTCTCTATCTATATATATATATATATATATATATATATATATATATATATATATATATAATATATAAATATATATAAATATATATATATATATATATATATATATATATATATATATATATATATATATATATATATATATATATATTTATATACATATATATATGTGTGTATATATATATATGTATATTATATATATATATATAATACCTTATAGTTGGTGTCGGTAGGGGGTCACATTTCTATCTATAATATCTTTCAGGACTGCTTCCTCCGTTTTGTCTATGTGGAAAAGAAGTTCCTCTAGAATATTTTAATAGGATAAATTTTCCACGGATCACAAAACAGAAGAAAGAGTCCTGAAAGACATTATTGATAGAAACGTAACCCTTTTCCCTACTGACACCAACCACAAGATTGAATTAATACTTTACCAAAAGAGCTAAAAGACCGATAACTTCCTCAAGCAACACTCTCCTGACACCAAACGTAAAGCCTTGACAAAGACGAATGTCGTCTTTGCCTTCATATACCCACTTGGAGACTGTAAGTCTCAAGGATCGTATGGTCTCTTCACACG